TGTTTTTGAGAAAGTTCTTCAGCAATAAGCATTCACACTGCGTTTTTGCAGGAAATGTAATTTCTCTATGATTACAGTTTCCTGAGACAACTATGTTGTGAATTTGCGTTATATAAATAAACTGAATTGAACTGAGTACTGTGGTTATAACACATTTGTGTCTGTCACTCCCTGACTGCCAGGTTCATGAGAGGTAGACAGACATGCAGACTACGAAGTAAGGCTCAAACAGTGGCTGTGCAAAAACTTTGTCAGAAAGTAAAACGATGGTCACACTTCAATTTTTACTTTTCTACGGTGTGTTATGTAGATGATACAAGTAAGAAATCTATGGAAACTTGGTGTGAACTCGGTATTCTAGGGGAGAATGAGCGAAATCAGCAACGCTGGACTGAGACTCCTCGAGACGAAAAGAAACCTGCTCTCTCTATTTACCAACAGTTACGTCACAAAAATTAAGTCATTTTGTTCTCCCGTGAGCTCTGAGAACTCGTTCTTTGCACAAAGTCCTGGCAGAAGTTTTGTCTTCCAGGAGTATGTGTCGAGTATTGTGCGTGTGGTGGATGCTCCTTGGAGTCTGGTCCCTCACAGTGCGATTGGTCAGAACCTGCTTGTGGGCCTGTTTATGCAGTAAAGTGGGTGAACTGCAACGCTGTCATTTGACTTCTACTGCTTCCCTTCCAGATGCCAACTGTCCGCTAGCAAGTTTGAGGAACATCTGGTCGAGGCTGTTTAAAAAAAGTGTCTTTACTTACACCTGTTCAAAAAAGAAATGTAAAGACAGTTAATTGGCAAAGAAGTCTTGGAAGATGAGATCAAAATGGCTGTGTACATAGGGAGGAGTCCGTCAGTCGGAAATGGTTGCAGTCTTTTCATAGACAAATTTGCAAAAACCAAACAGCAGACAGAGGGATGGAGGGGAGGCTCTGATGGGGGGGATAAACAAGGTTCTGGCTCTGTACACTTCTTCACAGTAAAGAATAGTGAGACAACCACACACATGAGTGTTTTACAAGTTCAAATAACAAACACCAGAAATTCTGTGTGAATAAATGAATGAGAGACAGAGGTGATGATGCGACTGCGATCGTCCTTAATCCGTCGCCTTCCTGAAATTCAGCGCTGCAGTTTCTTGTGGAGCAAAAATTATCCATGCCGAAATGAACGCCTCACAACTACGTCAGGGAGCGTGGACTTCCCTTCTCGTGGAGCATGAAGAAGCCCCAAGTCTTACAACAAAGAGTCCAACCTTGTGTGACTCATTCAAACTTTGAACCATGTTTCTACTATTAAGTACATCTGAGCTATAGAACGCCAAACAGAGCTGGGTTTTCTTAAGCTATTCATTGGAATCTCCCTTTTTTCTTTTTCTTCTTTCGGCTGCTCCGTTCTTCAGGGGTTGCCACAGTAAACTAGCTTGCATGAAGACTTGGCATTTGTTTATACGCTAGACGCCCTTCCTGACACAACCACAGACCATCGAGCTACCACAGCCAGAGAGCTGCTGTCTAGGGCACCTGGGGGAGCAGATGGTGGCAGTTAAGGGCCTTGCTCAGGGGCCCAGAATGGGTCTGGGGAATTGAATTGGGGACCTTACGATCACAGGTCTACCTTTTTTAACCTCTGCACCCCCCCCCCCCCAAGTTAATGATTTCATTCACCAAAATCCCATTGACCTTCATTATTTAATTACTCAGTTTTTTGCTAATTTTGTTTGTGTTGCACCGAGTTCTTCTATCAAGTTCTAGGTTCTTTATTGTCATTCGCATCACATGTGGTACATGAGGTGGAACAAAATTATGTACTCCAGGTTCCAGTTACATCCAAAAATAGCAAAAATATAAAGTGTAAAAAGAAACAGTATACAAGGATCTAAGATATACACTTAGATATACGCTAAAGGAATGCTAAACGATGGCTAAAAGATCTAATATGCTAAACACTAATAACGTAAATTAATAACAAAAGTCGTAGTACATTATTCCTGATGAAGCCGCCTCACAATCTGGTGTACAACTTGTAAAATGTATTTAGAGGCTGTGAGACGACGAGAAGGACAAAGATTTTGAACCAGTTTGTAACAAAACCCTCAAAGATAAAGCAGTATTTAAAACTCATTCAAGCGGATTTAAAAATAAACCAAAAATAATATTTCAGATGCAGTACAGTATGTGACTCATTTGACAAATGACCTACTTAAAAACCTTTTTTAAGAATGACCTTCTGGCCTTGCTGTGCTCCGTCTTACAAAGTTTAGCTTCACCACCCGGTTCACCAGGAAGCACGCTGCATATTTGGCCTTTCCCATCTGCCATCAAAGAGCACAATGAAGTGTTTGTGCGCCTCCGGTCTGTGTCCTCTGTCTATCCCCCCCACTCGCCTCTTTCCTTTAAGCCACAGATGTTCCCAGTGCCATCCCACTAAAGCGCTTCTGAACAAAACTGTTCTGTGTTCGCTGGTAGAGAAGAGCCACACAAGTCTGAGGAGGCTCCATGGGAACCAAGTGGCGAGCTTCGTCAGACCGTTTTGGATGCTTGCTCCTTCCGTCATGTGTGAATCACTGTGAGATTTGTGGGGGTGGAGGCGGTGGTGGGTGAAGTAAAACAGGCTGCGGAGATGATTATGAATTTGTCACGAGTGGACGATGAATAATCACCGAGCTGAAAATAGTAAAAACTGGTCTGAAGAGTGAGGAACAGAGAACAACTAGAGAAATGTCATTTCTTGCAAACGCATACTGAGAATGCAGAGTGCTGATGGTCTTGCTGAAACTAAAATGCTAAAGCTCAAAGAAGCAAACAACGGGCTAGCTAAAATCTAAAACTAGCAAATGATTTGCTGATGGTTAAAAATAGCATAAGGCTAGTTAAAAGTGAAAACAATCAGAACTGTAGCTAAATTAAAAAAAAAAAAAACATAGTTAAAAACTAAAATAAACAAAAGCCTAATTAAAAACCAAAACTAGCAGAACGATATGTAGAAGCTAAAAGTAGATAAAAAAGTGCTCACTGCTCAGACATCAACATGATCCCTCTGCTCCACAAAGTCCTATCAGCTTCGCCCTCCATAGACAAAACTATGCACCATGGGCGACACCATGGGCGACACCATGGGCGACACCACGGGCGACACCACGGGTGACACAATGGGCGACACCACGGGCGACACCACGGGTGACACCATGGGCGACACCATGGGCGACACAATGGGCGACACCATGGGCGACACCATGGGCGACACCATGGGCGACACAATGGGCGACACCATGGGCGACACAATGGGCGACACCACGGGTGACACCACGGGCGACACCACGGGCGACACAATGGGCGACACAATGGGCGACACCATGGGCGACACAATGGGCGACACAATGGGCCACACCACGGGCGACACAACGGGCGACACAATGGGCGACACAATGGGCGACACCATGGGCGACACAATGGGCGACAAAATGGGCGACACCACGGGCGACACCATGGGCGACACCACGGGCGACACCACGGGCGACACAATGGGCGACACAATGGGCGACACCACGGGCGACACAATGGGCGACACCACGGGCGACACCACGGGCGACACCATGGGCGACACCACGGGCGACACCACGGGCGACACCATGGGTGACAGGACCTTTTGCTCTGCTGCTCCTCGTCTGTGGATCACCCTCCCCGACCATCTAAGGATACCCCAGACTACAGAAAGTTTTAAGAAAGGGCTGAAGACCTTTTCATTTGAAGGATTTTATAGTGCTTAAAGGTATTTTTAATCCTGCCGTTTGTAGTTTTTTTTAAGTTTTTACAATTTTTAGTCCATGTTTTATTATCTCTAGGGGTTTTATATTGTTGCACTTTGAGACTGTAAAATGTAAATTGCTGTACAAATGTAATAAATTATTATTATTATTAAAGACTAAAATAAAAGCAGAGGAATGGTGGAAAAACAGTACTGGTAACAAAATATAATAATAAGAAAAAAAAACTATATAAAAGTACATAAAAATAGCTAGGTGGAAGCTAAATGTATCAAATGGTTAGCTAAAAATAAAAAAGCAAGCTAAAAGGTGAAAGTAGCAAAAGGCTAGCTAAAAGCTAAACAGATCAAAATAATAAGTAGAAGCTAAAAGAATCAAAAGGTTTGTTAAATTGTAAAAGGAGCAGAATGTAACCAAAAGCCAGAAGTAGATAATTTGCTAAAAGCTAAAGTAGCAAAATACTAGCTAAACCATCAAAGGGCTAGCTAAAAGCTAAAAGCTAGAAGAAAAAAAAAGTTAAGTAGAAGCTAAAAGAATCAAATGGGTTGCTCAATTGTAAAAGGAGCAGAATATAACCAAAAGCCAAAAGTAGGAGACAATTAGAACTATAACTATAATTCTATAATGAGAACTATAACTAGAAGCTTTAAAACCAAAAGGCTAGCTAAAATCTTGAAGTAGCAGAACCCAGCCAAAACTAAAAGTATCAAGCAATTAGATAAATTCTGACATAGCAAAAGACAAATTAAAATCCCAAAAGACTAGCTAGAAGCTAATTGTATCAAAAAGTGATCTAAAAGTTACAAAATGCATAGCATGGGGGAAAAAAAGTAGCAAACAATTAGGTAAAAGCTAAAAGTAGCACAAGGAGCAGAACAAAACAAAGCAGAAGCAGATTTGAAAGGCGATGTGATTGAAGACATGTCTGTGTATTTTTATGGGGAAAATATTTGTAAATTAAGTATAAAAGTTACAAAAACCAAAAGTCATAGCACCCATTTCCTGAATGAGCTGAACATTTTGACATAACTAATTAAAAAAAGAACAAAGTACAACGGAGTACCGTAGTTAGATTGTAATAAATGTACAAGACTAAAACCCAGGTAAACAGCCTTCACATGATTCTATAAGAAACTTTAATAAAGGGCACAGTTATTAAGATGCTTTTAGATTTGTTTGCCGTTAATTTCCGTTATTTCTGTGTTTAGTTCCACTTTTTGCACAAACAAACTCTGCGTACCTTCCTCTTTCGCTGGCCAGAGCATCGATCTCATCAAAGAAGACGATGGAGGGAGCGACCGCCCTCGCCTTCCGAAACACCTGCACGCAGAGAATCAGCAACAACAGCTGTGATGAAAACAACAAGTACTCAACAGGACTGATGAATCACTCCGGCACAGAAGCGTGCGCAGACAGAGGAAATACAGCTCATAAATGGCTAAAATCAGAACTCGGGTCATCACCTAAATGACGTCTAAACTGCAAACATTCAGAGTGAGACGCTTCATTTGACTAAAAACTCAACAACCAGGTAATAATAATTTCTTTATACCTGGTAAAAATCACTCAAACAGGGAATGCTGTGGACGTACCTCTCTAACGGCTCGTTCAGACTCTCCAACATACTTGCTCAATAATTCTGGACCCTAAAAGAAAAGATGCCACGGTTTAGGATAACTGACGTCCAGCATGACAAGCAATTTTATTTTATAAAAATATTGAAGTGATATTCATTCCAAAGTGATGTTTTGTTTTACTGCAAAAAACATTCTAAACTAGAGAACCTTTGTAAATAAAATACATCTAATTTAAATCCTTGTAGGTAAGAACCCCCACTGTTAGGCAAAGATTTTCATATGTATACATGTGAATTAATGTAAATGTAAGAAAAGATGCACAAGTAAATATAGTTACTGATCTGGGTCCAGATCGGACTTCACTTGGATCCAGATCTGGGCTGCTGTCTGCTATTTGGAGATCAGAAGAATAGTCTGATCCATAAAGACCTCAAAAGAAGGTTAAATCATTTCATCTGGACCAAATGATTTAACCTTCTATTGCTTTCTACCTGGATGTTTGAGCCTACAAACCTTTTTCATAAAGACCTAAGTGCAAACCTTACAGGAGCTCATTGTTATGCTGATGATACTCAGTTATATTTGTCCATGAAACCCAATGAATCCAATCAGCTGCTTACAAGCATGTCTTAAAAGACAAAAACCTGGATGACCTTTAATTTTCTGCTTTCATCTTATATTACAGATCTTATTGTTCCATATTTTCCTAACCGAGCATTTTGCTCTCAGACTGCGGGTTTACTTGTGGTTCCTAGAGCTTCCAAAAAACAGAATGGGAGGAAGATCTTTCAGTTATCAGGCTCCTCTCTTGTGGAACCAACTTCCAGTTTCTCTCCGTGAGGCTGACACATTGTCCAGTTTTAAGACTGGACTTAAGACTTTCCTTTTTGATAATTCCTATAGTTAGGCGGCTTGAGTTTCCTGCGCTATCCCTTAGTTATGCTGCAGCTTCGACTGCTGGAAGACAAACTGACCACATTTCCTCACTCTGCTGCTGTCTTTACTTACTGTACCTGTTTGTATTTGTAATTTTTTTCTATTCTTAACATGTTTTTTTTTTGTTTTTCTTTCAATAGGAGATACACCTGCACCTACACCTGCACCTGCACCTACACCTGCACCCACACCTGCACCTACACCTGCGTCCTGTCCTCTAAACACAGCCGGTCAAAGTAGATGGCTGCTCGTCCTGAGCCTGGTTCTGCTAAAGGTTTCTTCCTGTGGAAAGGGAGTTTTTCTTTCCACTGTCGCCTTTGTGCTTGCTCAGGATGGGAGATTGATGAAGTGAAGATGCAACAAAATCTGCTGCTTCCTTAGATAGAGAACTTTTTCTAATTGGCTTTTGTATGAATGTGAATGTTTCTGTTCAGTGCCCTGAGATAAGTTCTGTTGTGACTTGGTGCTAGATAAATTGAAATGAAAACTGAATTAAAGGATCTGTTCCTGACGGCCCAGTACCGAACACCATAGCAGACCTCTGGGGGTCTACCGGGGTACTCAATGGGTCAGGGTTGTTTAGATTAAACAAACAAACAAACAAACAGAAAAAGCTTCTCCTCAATCTCATTTGGCCAACAAGTTTGTAGCCATTTCTTTCTGGTTTGGCTTTTTTTATATCAAGAGAAAAATAGAGATCATTTTAAAAACGTGTCGTTGAAAGTTTAAAAGGAAGTTTGTTTTAAATGAAACATTTAAAAACAGGGAAATCAAGACATATTATAGCTACAAAAAACACTGTAATTCAATCTTTATATATATATATATATATATATATATATTGGTAAGTAGAGCGCAAACACGTGACAAAAACTCTGCAACTGAACCATTTTGTATTTGCACTTTTTTCTTATTAACTTCACCCCCTTAAACCTTCTGTACCCTCTTGGTCCTGTTCTTCCAAAGTTTTTAACCGCCCTCAGTCAGAACACATAAACATCCCCTCGGTCTTCAGAAGAACTTCCTCCGCCGCAGTCTGCTCTGTCAACACCTCTGGGTCGACGGAGGAGACGACACTTAACTTCCAGCCCTTTTGTCTCCTGCAGTAAGTGTGCAGGTTGGCTCATTACTCCCAGGCCAAACGGCTGAACGCTGCGAGTTTAGAACCCACAGACGCTGTAGAGATACAGGCTGCGCAGGTATGCATCTGCGGATGTTTTAACGGCTGAAGGGAGGAAACTGAAACTGACAAGATGATAATAGGGCTTTCTTTAACACAGAGGAAACCGGCTGAGCCTTAAAGTATCTGCATTTAAATCGGGATAACGTATCCTTGTCAAAGCAACCGCTGCACTGGAAAAACCTGATACGGTTATTGCGGATGGCTGAGAGTGGCTTTCAGCAGGAGGGACAGGATGTTTTTTATGCCCCTTAATAGATCAGATTCTCTTTGTGATAACTTTTACCTTGTTGCAGAGCTATTACACAACAACTCTGGATTTGCTTCAAATAACAAGATCTCCAAAATGAGCAGAAAATTGGAAATAAAGATGGTAGCTCTAAATGTACACTATATAAATAAGCGGTGCACCGATGTCCACCGTCTCTGTGGGGTTTTGCTACCGTATTTTCCGGAGTATAAGTCACACTTTTTTGCAAAAAATTTGCAAGTCCTACGATTTATACACCGAAACGACTAATATACGTTTTCCACATATTTATAACCCATTATTTGACTTTGAAATGTTTAATCATAGACATGAACCAGTAAACATTACCAGTTGCAGCCGCTAGAGGGCCCTCTAGGCTTTTAAATGTTGTTCCTATACCCCGTATTTTGATGTTGTCAGTACGGGGAGTTGAACTGGCGACCTTACAATCACAGGCCCTCCTTCTTTAACCTCTGCACCACCACTCCCCCATAAATGATGGTTGAAGTTTAATTGTTTGTCCTAAATCCAAGTTATAACAACAACCAAGCAAAAGTCATTTTAAAAATTATTGCAAACAAGTACAATAAATTAGTGCATTTTGTTTTGAATTTAGTATATATATTTTTATTTTTTAATTTTTTTTTACTTAAAGGAGGTCATAAAAAGGCTCGTCTGAAGTTCAGATTTTACACAAGACCAGAACATGAATTTAATTAGGTGGTAAATGAAAATAAGTTTTTATCCTTTTTTAAAAAAGGGAAGTTTCTCTAAGTGAACTCTAAAATCTTCTTGATGAAACATAAATAAAAAAAATGGTTCTAATTTGCACTGACATTTCCTTAATGATGCTCGCTGAGAGCTTCTGTCTTGACTTCCTGTCTTTTCTAAATATTCACCAATCATCAATTCAACAGGGCAATCAATCAGCTTCTGTCAACACGTCCTGGATGAGGAGGAGGTGAGGGTGACAGCGGGAGGGGTGGGGGGTGGGCAGAGAGGATGGGGTGATGAATGAGAGAGGACAAACATGAGGTCAAAGGTCAGAAGAGGAAGCTCTGTGCAGAGGAAGCTTTACAGCCACACCACCCTCTTCCTCCAGCTCATCGGGGTAAAATCAGCTCGACGGAAACACATCTGATATCTCTGGAACGTGCAAATTCATTTATAGCCTTTGTTAACTTTCTATGAACACGCACAAAAAAAGTGTTTTAATTAAAAAAATATTGCTCCCACTTTATCACCCTTGAAAATACGTAGTTATGGTGGGAACACAAGCCCAGTTTGTGAGACAAGTGATCAAAGTGAGCGACATTAGAAGTGCAGCCAGGACAATAATATAAAAAAAGACAGAATCCTTTTGGGGTTTTTTGAAAAATTTCTCCACGTCCTATGAAAAAAGGAAAATGCAGCTAAATTTGAATAAATAAATAAATAAATAAATAAAATTAAATAAAAATCTTACCTGGACGGACAAAAAAAAAGTCAATCGACGAGAAAAAAAACAAGTAATTTGATGAAGACCACTTACTTTAACAGCCAGAAAGTTGAGCCCACTTTCATTAGCCAGCGCTTTGGCTATCATAGTCTTGGAGCAACCTGGGGGACCATAGAGCAGGACTCCTTTAGGAGGCTGGATGCCCATTCGGGTGAAGGCCTCGGGGTGCCTCAGGGGCCACTCCACGGCCTGTTTCAGCTTCAGCTTCACTTCTGCCATCCCCCCAACATCTGACCAAAGCACCTGGAGGGAGGGGACATGGGGTACATTTACTTCTACTGCAAAATGCTGATGGAGACCTTTTAAGATTTGAACCAAAATATCACAAGATACAAGATAAAGGGACGCCATGAACAGGTGAGTGATGAGAGACTGAAAGAAACTCCTGCTTTATGTCTACATTTAAAAATACTTATATCTGTGAACACAACATTGCAAACAAATAGTCACAAATTCAGGAAGGGACGGTTTTGCAATAAAGCATGTTCTAAATCGTTAACCTGAAGGAGCTGGTAACAAAAGGGTTCGACTAAAACCTTTATCCGAGCAATTTGATAGAAAATGTTTAAAGTATTCATTGTTTTCAAATGATGGTTTTTATAATTATTCCACTTTTACATATCTGAGATACAATTAGGACAAAGGTTTGACAAGTAATTTCTGGTTAAAAAATGTTGCTGAGGGATTTGAATTGTGAATGTTTGTAGTTTTTGAGATGCATGTTTTTCTTGACTGGAACAGAACAGAGAATGTGTTGGTGCAAGATATTAAAGTGGCGAGGACTTACACTGTAGAGAAGAACAGAGGAAGATTTATTTATTTATTTTTGCTTAAGGCGGCGCATAGTGACAGATCCTGTTGAGCGGAGGGAGCATTTTAATTTTATTCACCACCAGGAACAATGGCAGAGCCCGGAGGTGGCCACGTGGGCCTTGGTCACCATAGATTATTCTTCAGCCACTCCAGCAATATAAAAACTAGAAAGTATAGTTTCCTCAAATGAACAAAGGTGGCTGGTTTACATATATGTGGCGTGGTCACCTTGGATATTGACGTGGCAATCCAATTTTTGACAGGGCGCTTTAGATGCAGCCACACACCAAAATGGAAGTCAGTACCTCACTTGTTTTTCAAGTTATCCAGCTTACAAGATGAACCGGACTGATGGAGCACAGGCAACACATCAATTATATGTGATGAGGACATGCCCCCTTCACATTTTAAAAATATTCATTTGTCCCCTCCCCCCTCCCATTTACCATGAAATATTAGTTCACTCAGCACTCTTTATTCTTTGTGAACAAATCCATTCCACTTGATTAATAGGAGAATACTTAAACCACTAAAAGTCCACTCCGGGTTTTCCTGGTTACCTACAACAACTCGCTGCTTGGCAGGATGATCGTATCGTCTGTTTTTTTTTGTTTTTTTTGTGGATGGGATGGGGCGAGGAGGGGGAGACACCTCGGTGTTGCACACTAGCTTAACGCATACACCAGAAATGGCAGGAAATGGCATTTACGTTATTCCAAAATTTCAGAATAAAATACCCACCAGTGTGCCCCCCTCACATTACAAATGATTCTAACACCAATGGAAGGGAGAGTACTTCCATTTCCTCTCTTCGATCTGCGACGGTGGATGAAAACAGAAGTAAAAATGGTAGTAGTTAAAACTAAAAGACTAGATGCAGAACTCTACAGTTAAATGTAGGATTTACCAAATTCTGTCAAAACACAGCACAATCTAAACTGTGTCGTGTCTAGTGCGGTAGATTACGTCCATCCACTCAGAGAATAGGTGTCTTGCTCAAGAATGCATAGGAATGGCGGGGAATCGAACATGTGACTTTCAGGTTCCAAAACAGCTGCCTTACCACTGCTCCACAGTCGTGTTGTGAATTATTTCAGCTACTACAACAACAGATTTTAGCTCAATATTAGTAAAATAGTCTGAGTTATAGCCACTTTCTGTTGGCTATATTTAATTAGCAGTGGCATCCATCTTGAATTGGGTTAACTCCAGAAGTTAAACAGCTGCAGATCAAATCATTACTTTCTGAAAATTTTAATAAGATCCTTCCAGTGGTACATGAGATATTTTTCTAACCAACACAAGAGATGCTGGGTTTTTTTAAATATATGTTTGATACCTTCTCATATCTGGTGCTGGAAAATAAACATATTTAATAAAACTAGAAAATTTGTTTTGTTCTTGTGAACGCTTATTGCTGAATTTGGCTGAAAAGTGCTGAACAAGCTAAAGTTTACATGAAATCAGAATCAGAATAAGCTTTATTATCATTGCACTTAAATACAGTGACATGCTCATACAGTCATCCGAAAGATGGGCAGAGTGCACGTTGCTGCTCCTTAAGAGCATGACCCCTTATTTTTTTAGATAGAAAACAGGAAAAGGCCATGAGGAAGGATAGTGGAATTACAAAAAAAAGATCTCTTCACACCTTGTCCTTGTCAGGACATGATTTAAGAAAAAAACTCTATCAACAAGCACATTTATAAACACATTACATTTGCATTTGACAACAAGATGGTGAGATTTGTCCATGAAGCCCTTCCACATAGCACCATTGTCCTGTTAAGATGTTGGTGTCAGCCGGTACAGCTCTGATGAGCATTCACAGAAGTTCTCGGGGGGGTTGCGATAGACAGACCCTTCTCAGTTTACACATATCCCAGGAGAAATTTGATAAGTCAGCCTGCTTCGAAGCCGAACAGGGGAGTCAGATTCAGATAAGCCACAGTTGTTGATTTTTTTTTCAGGCAGACTGTTATTTCTTGTCAGCCTTTGAGTTTCGTTGGTACTTTCGATTTCCAAGATAAGACAGATTTGTGGGCATTCCACTGGTCCGTGATTAGTAGCTCCATCCAAGGTTGTCCCCAACATGATGGCGAATCCCAGAAGCCGCAAGTGGCCTGCGATTCTCACAAATTGCTTCCATCTTACGGTTTAGCTCATAATTCAGCTGATGTTGAGTGCTCGAAGCATGAACCAAACCTTCACACAAGGTCGACAGCTTTGCCATGGACAAAACTGCTTCCGCCGTCTTCTTTAATAGCCGATAACACAGGTATCCGAAGAAACACTGCTTTCATGATTCCAATTATATAAACATCTTCAGCATCCTCCTGAGACATTATGGAAAGGCACATCAACTTCCAAACCCCGCATGGATCCATGTCATACCCTTCCGCGTGCGTCTCAGTGGGGCATGAGGGCTCTCCAGGACCCTGTTGCTTGGTTGAAAACATGTTATCGATTGCAGTGCAAGTCCAGCTGACCAGATCCATGACAGTAGTTTACGATTCGGAAGATGTGTAAATAGAAGCTCCAATACACAAGACAGAGAGCAGAAAAGCAGGAGGAGGACGAGAGAGGGAAGAAAAGCATCCGTCTTGCTTGAGAGCGAGTGAGGAAAAAAAAAATACAATAATCTCTGAAACAATGGAACAACTTGATTTTTTACTTAGCCTTCAGGATCTCTCTCGAACACAACAAATTTTAACTACATATGTAGAAAAATACTTGAGTTGAAACTGAAATAAGGTGTAAAGCGTGTAAAAAAGCTAAAATTAGGTAAACAACAAACTAAAACAAAAACAACACAAAGAAGTAGTAGAAAAATATGACAAAAAAGCTCAATAAGTGTCATTAAAAAGGTTAAAAGTAGCAGAAAGAAGCTGAAAATAAAAGCACAAAAAGCTGAAAGACGTTCTGCTCCCAGATGCTTCGTGTTTCTAAAACCTTCAGAGTGAACTGCAAAGAACCTCTGGTCCTTCCAGGCTTCGGCTGAAGGACGGAGGAGAAATCTAAAAGCATTTTTGGAGGAGCTGGGAGGTTTGGGGTGGATCGGGGAGATTCTGGACGGAGCGAACAACAACAGAGTGAGTCTGCCAACAGCTGGAAGGACGGACGAAGAGAGAGAGAACAACCGGAGGAGATAAAGCAGATAAGAAGGATCCAAAACCTTCTACCCCTTTCAGTCTCCGTCAGTTCTTTCTTTACTTTCAGCACTTTCCTGATGTTTTTTTTTTCTCCTTCCCCTACGTTCACCTCATCTTTTCCCTCACTCCATCTCTCTTTCATATCCTTTTTGATCTGCTCTCATATCCCCTCCATGGCCCAGTTTGTTATCTCTGGTATCTCAGCATCGCTGCCTTCCTGTCCTCCCCCCACTTAGCTTTCTCTTATTACAATCTTCATGCACAAAGATGAAGAGGGGAGAGATCAGGTTTTCCAGGAAGTCGTAAAGGTTGTCTGGTTACTGTAAAATATGTAAACTGTATACACCAGGAAGTTTCCGATACTTCCCTAAACTTGACCTCAGCTTAGTAAACCAAAAGAAGGGAAGAATATCCAGCAGGTGAAGACACTTCCTCCATGTTTTATTTCTTCCCCCTAATCTTCTCTGTTTCGTCTATCCTCGCCTGACCCTCTTACCGTCCCTCCATCAAACACTCCGACTTAAATATCAGTTCTAGTACTTCTTCTTCCCCTCCGTTGGACTTCCTCTTCTATCCTCTTGCATACCCCCTACCCCCCACTCCATCCAGAAGTAACACATCCCAGGCCACCGGCGCCGTGTCCGGGGAACAGAGCACCTAATGGAAACCTGGCGTCCGGCCACATACTGTAAATACCGAACAATTTACGGCTGAGCCGGAGAGAAAGAAATGCACGGAGCGAAGGGAGGCGGGGGTGGGGAGCCAAAGTGCTCATTTTGAAGGCTCAGAATAAATGAGATGACGGGCTAAGTGGACGAGGATGAAAGGAACTGTGAAGTGGAAGAAATACAGGAGACGAGCGTGCAAGATAACCACAAGTAAGGAGGTGGATGGAGCAAATAGACAAGCAAAATAAAATCAAATAGACATTTTATAGTATTTTACAAACAGAAATAGAAAACATAAAAAAAATGACAGTGACAGACACTCAGAAATTAAATCCCAACTTTATTAACTTTTATGAAACAATCTTATTGGTCCAACAAGTGAAGTCAGGTCCTCTGGATGGTTTCTTTTTGTTGAAACGCGTCGTCTTTCAAACAAAAGACTTCATCGGTCTGAGGAGCAACAACAAACTCCATGCTCAGAATTATTGAGCACGAATCAGGATGTTTTGAAACACTTCGTCCATGGCTGCCTCAAAAGAGTCGGCAGGGGAGAGGGTGGACTCCAGAAACCATTTGAGCACCATCAAACTGGGTGGCCCACTATGGGAAG